TCCAAGAAAAGAATAAAATTAATTTTGTTTTAGCAAACAGAGATAGAACATTGTAATTCTTGGGAAACTAGTGAGGAATACGATCTTTTTCTCATGAGGTTAAAACAGTTTCTAAGAAAAAACGAGGAGAAAATGTTTGTTCAGCGCCACAGTCTGAACATTTTGCAACGTCCATCATAAAAATCTAAGTACCAAAGACTGTTGAGATTCTTACAGATCAAGAGCTTTCAGTTACAACCAATCCCAAGTAAATTGATGGAGCAGAGGGTGTAGTAGATCAAAAACAAACCAAAGAAGTCGCAACTTTGACCTTCATGGAGGATTAGAAAAGCAAAGAGACAAAAATAACTTACTAGTGTATGCAGAGAAAACAGGTTGTACATTTATCACAGAAAAAATTCCATGGGGAGAATTCAAGAAACAGCTCGATTCCGAGTTGGCAACGATTTCCTTAAAACTAAGAGTGAATTGGCAAGCGATGTATTTTACGTCCCTGTCAATTATGTTGAAACCTGATGATTTCAGACCGCGATAGCAACGTAAATGGCAGTAGAAGGTAGAATTTTTTGCATTGTGTTTGCTTGAAGAGGAGGCATCTGAAAAAAAGGTTAAATTCCGATCTTTGATTTTAGAACTTTATTCTTTTTTATCTTGACTTTCAGGACATTCAAGTAAGGTGTGCCATTCTCAACAATGGTATCAATCTTCGTAATGGTTCAAATTTTTACTTTTTCAATAGTTTTCATTGAATTTTACCGTTTGTAGGGTAGAGGGCCTTACAAAAGAGTTTTGATGATTTTGCTAATGTGAATGTAAAATTCAGTACTGAACTGTAATTTTCATTACAGAGAGGAAAAGTCATTTCGACACAATTTTCCTTCAAGGAAATATGCTATTTGGTGCGACAAAAGTGGAAACCAGACGGGAAGGCGAATACAGATGCGTTTCAGGACTAGATATTTGGTCCCATCATCAGCACAGCGTGGTCTACTGATTTTTTGCTTGGAAGCTTGTGACTGGACTTGCTCAAAACATTTTATCTCATTGAGGGAAAATTGAGCTCGGTTGAGTTTCTTCCCTCTAAAATTGTGCCTCAAACACAGCAGATTAGAATTGTAAATGGCTTTCCCTCAAAACTACTTTTTTGAGCCGGAAATTTCAAATCACCTACCTTCAGCCTGATTTGGCATTTTAGGGCTTCTTTAGACACAAAATGTTCAAATGACACTAATCTGTGCTCTCGTTTTAATAATTAAATATTGAATTTTTGTAGACTCACATTCTTATTCCTGTCAATGATATAAAGTGTACTTTGTTCTTTTTTGGCCTTACAGGGTAGAATAAAATGCATTCAAAGCAACTAATATCCCGACTCCCCAACAGTCTGCTAGAGTGAGAAAACGAGGCATGCCTGGTCTTCTGCAGCAAGCTATTGGACCCTGACTTCATAAAAAGTATTGTGAAAGAGAGAGTTGAAGATGATCGGGTACCATACCTGCACTGAACTGATTATCCAGGAACGGTTTTGTAACACCTGAAGTAACATGACTAACGAATGCTATTCGGTCCTTGGGATGCACAAAGTCAGTGAAAGAACGCCCCAGCCACATATCTTTGTGAAATCCCAAGACATCTGTTAATCCAGACGATGTGTAGAGAACTATTCCATCATGCATTGAAACCACAACACAGAACTCCTGACAGTTAGGCATAGAAAATGCTGTTGTTAGAAAAAGCAACTTTCATCATTGATACATATCGTGTAAACAAGAGGTACTAAGACTAATAAAAAACATCTTCCGACAATTAAACTTAGTTCCGCTTATAGAAATGCAACCTAGGTACCCGAAATATTTGTCATTATTTTTCCCTCTTCAAAATGACAATTATTTACAGTTTTTATTGATCAGGTTTTGAAGGTTTGTTTTTTTTTTACTTTGCAATTTGAAAGTTAGCCAGAAAGAAATTCGACAATGATGAGCGATACGTCTTTCAGAACTCAAAAGATCAAAAATTGTCTGTTGTCACAAATTGACTCATTTACAACACTAAAAGAGCAATGTTAAATTTGACCCATTATGTATTTGCATCCATACGTTTCAGAGTTTTCACCATCTCACAGAGGCCAAAATTTTAAAAGCTATTTAGCGTTTAAATACACATTGAACAGTCATTAAAATATCTACGACTCCTACAGCATAAGCAGTGAGATACAAACAGATGGTGAAAGGGGACAAATATTTGACCTGGAGACTTCAAATATGGAATCCTAGGATGGTGCAGGGGAAGATTCTAGAGGCAAAATATTAAATAGATTCCATTTTCAGGAAAATAATCTTCATCCCTGTGAATTATGGAGGAATACTTAAAACAATTACCTTTTCTTTCACGCTTGTTTCAACATAGCTTTTGAAAGATTCATCATTTTTCTGGTTGCTTCGGATGAACTGCTCTTCATCTATATTGCTCGTTTGCAAATCTGGAGGGTGAAGTTCTTTATTTTTCATCTTCTTGAAACATAGCAACGTTTGAGACAGTGCTGCCATTTGCAATGATTCGTTCTCAGCCGAGGGTGTAGCTCCATTGTTAATTATGGAACTTAGCACAGAGTCCGGCTGTAAAAAAAATTATATTGATTCAGTCAGATCCTCAATGCCAGGGCTGCTTGAACCATCTAAAGGTTTCAACCGGACCGCTGGTTTGGCTTTGGTTCAATTGTAAAATTCCAGTTCGAGATGTCGGACTTAGTGCGTGGTTTGGGAGGTATCTGCAATTTTTAGCAGGTGCTTACAGTATATTTTTGCTTTCCTTGGCAAAATTTTGTGGTTTGGCAGATGATTATGTGCGATTGTGATTTAACGTAAGAACTCACAGTTTTTCCGGAGATTTTCCAAAAATTCCACACAAATCAATAATGGTTTCGCAGATTCTTCCAGTTTTTTGCAGAATTTAGCCAATTGCGCTAATACTTACGTGTGATCGTAATTTTCTGCGGTCTTGAACAACCTCGCGTGTTTTTCCAGTTTTTTGCGGACACTCGAGGGTAGCCGCGGATTTTTCTGCAAGTTCGGCGGCTACCTGCGGACATTCGCAAACAAGATGGAACAGAACAGACCACAGCAAGACAAAATACAAGCAAGTTTTGCCCTTTACCGGCCACTCGCTTGTTTTCATCGCTGTGATTTTCCATTTTTTCTACAATTTTCAGTCATATCTGATGTATTTGGCTACAGCAAATACATTAAAAATCTTTAGGAAAGTAATGTATTTTAATTTTCAGAATTTTTTCCAGTCTTTAAATGTTGCTCTTTAATCATGCCATCAATATGACAGAAGATCCTACTATGATTACACCTGACTTATCGAATGAGAAAGCTGTTTTGACAAATTTTATTCAAATTTTCAACAGTTTTTGCCAAAGAAAAGCTCTCATGGAGGACAAGAGGTTCGGCTTGAGGTTCAGGAACCTTTTCAAAGGTTTGGTTTGAGTGTAAAATTTAAGATTCGCAAAATCCTTTTTACTGCAAGGATATAAAGCATTTAAAACTAATTATGTCCTTGATACAACCAATGCACCGATCAAATTGATAATTCCATGAAGTTATTAGAAATCCAACTCAACAAATCATAAATAAAAATCTAAAAAAATTAAAATAATTTGATCAACCTTTGACAAAAATTCTACTCTCTAAAATGACATATTAAAAATAAGGGCTTAATAATTGCATTTTGCAATAGCAAACTTTTTGAATATTTTAATGGTTGGAATGGTTACCAAGTATTAATCTATAGAGTGTAATAATGAGATTTTCATGAAAACAAAAAATGGCTTATTCATAATATTATTCAAATTCCTGCACAAAGGTAAATTTATCTACACCTTAATTCAAGTTGAAATTGTATTTTTATTCACTAGATGTATTATATGCTTTTGAAGACGAGGGGCAATTGATGAAGCACAAATAATACCTACTGGTGCCAGTTGACTATGAATTACGGCTGAAAAAGAGTGAGAAAAATTGGATTTCACTTACCGGAGTGCTTTTAACTTGACTTGAAGCAGAGAGTTCCTCACTACTGGTTGCCTCATTGATGGTAGGAGTAGATGTGGGTGGGGTTGGAACAGTTGAGCTCGAGGTGGTGTTGCTTGATTTTATTTTCTTCTTTTTATGATCCTTCACCTTGCTCTTCTTTGCTGGTTCTGGAAACAGCTGGTCATTGCTCCTAGGGTCCAAAAATCATGGAGTTATCTTTCGGAAGTTTGATTGTGAGGTCAGAAAAATAATGATTTTTCAGCATGAAAAGAGATCAGAGCTGATGTTAGAGCCAGACAATTTTTCAAGGAACATCCATCCGATTTTCAAAAATGTTTTAAGAACCTTAAACACTGAAGGCTGAGGAAAAAGTGGCTGAGTCGGCCTCTTATGGTGCAGTGGTAGTAGCGCTGGCTCTACGATCGGGTGGTTCCGGGTTCGATTCCCGGCCAGGCGACCCGAGTTTGATGGTCTGAAACAATGGTTGCCTGGGACTGGTTGTTAGGGACGGAGGGGGGACGGGACTGAAATGCAGGATTAGCCCTTGTGGGCTGCTTGAAGTAGAAAAAGAAAAAGAAAAAAAAAAAGAAAAAAAGTTGGTCACCATTTCAAGTTTATAATTTGTATAACTACCTAATTAGCCTTGCTTGATTACCTAGGTCTTTCTTTGAGAAAGGATCATGCATTTTCCAACTCCAAAAATCCAGTTTCTAATTGAACACACCTCGTAGGTACGAGAATATTTTGATCTTTATTCAATAAATCAATTCGCTTCAAATTTTGGTGAGCCCTCTTCTGAGGACTCGTTAGAGCTGAGGGCTGAAAAAAAACAATAATACGAAATACAGTGGACTCTCGATAATTCGAACCTCGATAATTCGAAAACCTCGTTAATTCGAAGGAAAGTTTGTTTCCCTTGGAAATCTCTCGATAATTCGAAGAAAATCAATGTATTTTTCTCCCCTCGTTATTTCGAAATTTTTAAGCTGGTGCGGCCCTCTATAATTCGAAATTGCGACGAGAATTCTCTCTGTAATTCGAAGTGTTGGAAGTAAATATGGTTCTCCCTCTATAATTCGAAATAAGACGGTACATTCCCTCTACAATTCGAAGTCAACTGCTCATGTACCTGGGTGTCTGAAAGAGCTGATAGGATTGTCAACATGTAAACAAGTCCCGTGAGTCTCCCCGCGAAAAGCTTGATCAGCTGATTAGTAAGCAGCTGATTAAATATAAATAATTAATAATTAATAATAACTTAAAAGTAATTTTTACTTCCGTAAAGAAATAAACTGATATTTTTGGTTATTTTAGGCGTAAATTCGTCTGTTTGCCCCTCTATATTCGAACCTCTCTAATTCGAAATTTTTCCACACGGAATCTCTATAATTCGAACTCTCTTTATTTCGAAACCTCGCTAATTCGAATAAAAAGCCGATTCCCTTCAATTTCGAATTATCGAGAGTCCACTGTAAATTGAATCAGGTATTGCAGAACTTACCCACTTCCTAGGGTGGAGCTTGATGGATGCCCTCCGTAGCCACTGCTGGTGCTGGAAGTGGTACTGTGATGTGAGTGCGACTTGGAGCTTCCACTGAAAATATCACAAAAAATTGAATCAAAGCAAGAAATTAGTATTTCTAAAAAAAAAAAAAAAAAAAAAAAAAAAAAAAAAAATAGATCGTTCCTGATATGTGACTAGCCACGGTAACAAGGATCTCTGAGTCCACGGGTGGGGAATTTTTAATGGAGAAATTTTCCCATAGTTGGATTGAAAAATCCAAACGTAGGAGTTTGATGGCAAACTCCCTCTAGGAAATATCCCCTTTTTGCCTTAAGGAATAATTTGCGAGCAGTTAACTTCATGTGCGTGCCGACAGAGGACGTAAAGAATAATCCGGCAAATTCCATGTCCTCGACATAATAGATCGAAATTCCTGACAGCGTTTCCTTGAAACCACGTTTTCAAAACTACGAGGTTCAAAATAAAAAAAAAACTGCGGTTCGATTTGGCATTTTTTACCTCAAAATGTTTGTTCAAATATTCTTCTGAGCTAATTTTGATAACCCAATTTTGGGTGTTTTGTGGACTGAAGCCCCTTTCCTTATTGAAGAGTCTTACATGAAAAATGTTCACAAAAGCCTAGATCCATATAAAATTTGCCTCTTAATTTATTCTCCCTCACAATCATAGACAAAATTTGCTAACAGACCCGAAAATTGGTGCTAATTTCTTTAAAGGCAGGATGAAAAAGCATTTCATGTCCAATTAAGCTCTGACTCCACACTTACAACAAACCTGATGAAGCCATGTGCAGGAAGCTGACAATTAAAATAATTTTTTGTTTTTGTGACTAGTCATTGAAAGACTTCAATGAGGGTGGAGGCCCCTTCCACAAGTATTTACAGGCATGAGAGTATTTGAAATTAAGACTAAAGGTAAATAACTCTCTACCAATGAGATTCATGCGTTTCTTTCATGAAGAATAAAAGCTTCACTGAGAATTCAAGTTCAATTATTAAAAGACAAAATACCTCCTTCGAGACTGACTGTTGGAGCAGGTTGAGTAAGCTGAATCGTTAGACACTTTTGTGTTGGAGGAGCTGGCTGTTTCCTCCATTGCTGGTGAACTGGAATTTGAATAAATATTAGACAAAATACATCATATTTTTACTCTGAACGGTAGTAGGTGAGCACTTAAGAAATAAGTATTCGTCAATTTACTAAAATTTAACATTTAAGGGAGGTTTTTGGACAGCAATATAAGCGGCTTGGGGGTGCGAATATTAGCTCGCAGTAGCTCTTTAACTTTCGATCCGTCCCGGCAAGGAACACATGTTGTTTACTCGCCTCGCTGCGTGTCTCTCATTCTGTCAAGTTCGCCTTCAATAACCGTGATGGCAATATGAGCGGCTTGAGAGCACGAATAGTTGCTCGTAGTAGCTTGGTCACTTTCGCTCTGTCCAGGCGAGAAACACACATTGATTAGTCAAAATAAAAAATGGCATTACCGGGGACATTTTTTTTTTTTTTTTTTTTTTTTTTTTTTTTTTTTTTTTTTTTTATTCATTGAATTCAGTGTTTGTTTGGCATTATGCTGGCATAAAGAGGTGCGTAAGAATTGACCGGGATTCGTACGCAGCGGACTTTTTGAATTTCCACGCACTGTGGCCAAGTAAAAGAGACGATATGAATTATCTCGAAAAATCTTCTGTCTCACTTGCATTGTCACTCACACTCATTCATCGAACAAGAGACTACCCTTTGCAATCCCGATTTTTCCGCGAGTTCTACGCCTACAGGAATGAAATGTCTCGGCTGTCGTATAAACATCAAACTCCATTAGGGCCGGAAAATGAAAACCTCTAGGATGAGCGGTTCCGGAGATAAGGTGGTCAGCGGTGAGTGCGTGTTTATTTGTATTCATACATACAGCCGGCGCGGACTTCCGCCCTAAATCGCCGGATAATCGAATATTTATTGTAGATGCTGACCGACTTCAGCAAAGGGGATTTTCTTCGAAAGTCTCAGAGCAGGGAATACCTCAGAGACTCACTTCTAGGGGTCATTAAAAGGCCTCACCTTCTCGAATTTTCGCTCACTGGAGAAGAACCACTTTAATAATGTTAACGTACGATAAAATCAAATAAATTTAAAGACCTATAACCTTGCAAATAATACTTAATTAAGTAACAAAACTTGCATAGCAGCTAAAGACGCCTTGGCAAGGTTATAGCTCTTTTAATTTATTTTATTTTATTTATGATTCGCATTGCTCATTAAAAATATGTTTAATGAATTAACGTACGATGTTTCGCGGCACGAAATCGATTGGATGTATGGGTGGAACAAAGGAAGGAATCGAAGGGAATCACCCCCCCCCTCCCTCCCTCTCCGGTTGATACCACTTGTCCCCTAGTCCTTTTCTGAAGTTATGAGACATTCAATTCGGAAGTATCGGATTTAACTCATCTGCAACTTGTCCATAAGAGGGGCAGATTTTAAAAAAATAATTAGAGGCCCCTCTTAATGAAAAGGTATAAAAGGGCCCTTAGAGGAAAAAATGTCTGATGGGGCCCCCAGACGTTCTCAAGAGTCTCACTATGAGACATCGACATCAGACTAAGTTGGCAGGTTGGCTCCTGAAGCTGGCTAGCAAAAAGTCGGAACTTTGATAGTACCTTTTCAGTACCTTCATGCGACGATCTTTCAAAAATTTAGAACCTTAAAATTTCCGCACGTATTGCGACAAAAAAGACGTAGTCAGGAAATGTGAAGCTCGGTAATGATATAAAGATAAAAAGGGTTTGAATACTTTCCAGACTATTTTAAAAACACGCGCGGCATGAAGCGAAAAATTCCGGACCCTTTTGCAGAATTACCGTACTTTTTCAGTTCTTCTGAACTGGCTCCAAAATATCAAAGATGTTTCCAAACTAATAGACGTTCTGCCAAAGTTTAGGAGCGATTGCCTTCAGCCCACCGGGCAAGTCCACCCTCGGTGTTTATGAAATGGACGTATTTCTATCAAACGGAACTATGTGCATTAAAATATGAGCCCTGAGACCCATAAGAATAAATGTATAACAGGGCTCACGTCGTAATGCACATAGTTCCGTTTGATAGAAATACGTCCAAATAACAGTGATACTTCGGTTACCCTTAAAATTCTACACTTTTCTGTGAGTGAAAACAGTTCAAAATTGCTCTTGAAGGAAGGGTATCAACATGGACCGTTTTTGGACCCAACCTGGAGGAATATTCTCAAATCTACGATTTTTCGCTCATTGAAGGTCTAAATTTTATGAAATGCATCATGATTTCCGGTCTCTTCAGTTCTAGTACCGGTCGGTCCAAACTTGAGTCTTAGGGCCAATTTTGGCGGAAAATGCGGATTTTGTGGCATTCACCCGCAAAATCCGCATTATTCGCCTAAATCGGCCTTTGGATTCAAGTTTGGACCGACTAGTATTAGAACTGAAGAGACCGGAAATCATGATGCATTCCACAAGATTTAGACCTTCAATGAGCAAAAACTAGTAGGGTTGAGAATATTCATCTAGGGTGGGCCCTAAAAGATACCCCTCCTTTTCGAACTTTATTAGAGGAGGCCCGTAACATATAGCCCCCCCCCCCCCCCCCCCCCCCCCCCCAGGAATGGGGAGTTCCCTCAAATCTCTCTTGGTGGTGGCACCTCCACAAATAATTCTCGGCTCGGCTCTGAATTGAATTGGATTTTTACCGTGCTCGGTAAAAACGCAGTGAGTATGATCATTCGAGAGTTACCAAATTTTCTCGGATAATAGAATATTTATTTTCGACTAGTCATGAATACTTTTCCTTGAAATGTTCAAGAACTTCATTGGGCAAAATTGGGAACGTGAAAATCTGAGAACAAAGTGTCTACTATAACAGGCTAGTCAAAAATAAGTACTTTTACAATTCTTTTTCAGTACATTCTCCAGAAATTCAGTACCTCCTCCAACAGAAAAATGCCGTACTTTTCCAGTACCTCCATTTGACGAAACTGGAAAAATTTAAGGTAGGGTCAGTGGACCCCCTATGGACACGGGACCCCCTATGGACCCTTAGTAGTTCCAGGTTAAAAAACAAGGTGACAACATAACCAAACAACCTGAAAATCGCGTCAGCTGTTCTCTAGGATCAGCTGAATGATGAGAAAATTTTCATTTCATGATTGGTTACGTTGTCACCTTGTTTTTTAACCTGAAACTACTAAGGGTCCATAGGGGGTCCCGTGTCCACAGGGGGTCCACTGACCCTATTTTAAAATGCGACAAAAATGACGACAAATTAAAAACAATTCCGGACCTTTTTGCGGAATTTTCGCTCTTTTTCAGTACTTCCGGACCGCCCTCAAAAAATCAGTACGATTTCCGGACTTTCCGGACTTGTAGACACCCTGGAGAAATAGGAGGGAAAATATTGCCATGAAATTCTTGTTTCATCAAAGGAAATTTGGTAACGCTTGAAAGTTTAGATGTGGTTTTTGTTGAGACGGGAGATTTGCAAGTGGTGGCGTCGACGGGTGGCAGGCGCATCGTCATCGCTCGCTGCGTCGCACAATGGATCGAGTCAATGAGAGAGGTTGGACATAAAATTGTTGACTAAAATTACAAATTTTTAGGTTTATATCGCCACATTTTAAACTTTAAGGGATGCTTCTTGAGGAAAATTTGACGAGGAAACCAATGAAGGCACTTTCAGAACATGAAAGTTTTATATAAACGGAGTTAGACGCGTTTAAAGTTTCCAAATTTTGTCCGACCTCTCCTATTGATTCGATCCAGTGTGCGTCGGAGCGGCCCCGCTGCACGTGTTCGACTTCGTGGTGCGCCGACTTACGTCATCCCCCGAACCCAATCCCGATCTTGGTGACGTAGACAAACGCCAATAATCCCGCCAGGGAGGGTTTTTTACGCACCGGAGTACACCCTCTTTCCCTTGATCGTTGACCCCATGACCGCGAAACCACCGCATACAAATAGATCCTTTGAAAAACAGCCAAGGATGACGCAGGATTTCCTTAACAAAAAACCTGGGATTGATTGAACGACAATGGAGATGTTGCATGTGTGAGGAATTTGCGATTTGACTACTGATTCTTATGAAAAAGTTCGCGAGAAACACGATGGTCCCACTGATTTTCTCTGAAATCAACTCCCAAGCTCAAAAAGAGCTTTCAAGTTGAGGCCAAAATGGAGGGGATATCCAACGCTATCCTGAGAGTCCATCTCTACATAAAGACGAACTCTCCATGCAAAAATAGGGAGCAAATACATTAGCAGGGTAGCCGTGTTTTCAGTTTTAGAGTCTCCAAATAAAGTGGCAGCCCTGCCAGTGTATTTGCTCGCTATCTTTGCATGGAGAGTTTGTCTTGATATAGAGGTGGACTCTCAGGATAGCGTGAGATATGCCCTCCATTACGCCCTCAACTTTGAGAGCTTTTTTTGAGTTTGGGAGTTGATTTCAGGGAAAACCAGTGGCAATATCGTTTTCTCGCGAACTTTTACATAAGAATCGATAGTCAAATCGCAATTCCTCACACATGCAACATCTCCATTGGCAATTAGGAACTGCAATTTCCGCCGGCAAAAATTCGCTTTTCAGCGCTCCACCAGTGCCGTCGCAAGGAACCAAGCGCCGCACAGTCAAACGAGCCATTATAACAAGGGGGCAAACAAATTTTGAAGAATGAGGACATTTTTGTCCAGAACGACACCGGAAAAAAAAAAAATTCGGAAAAAAAATCCGAAGATTTATCGATCGTGCCGACCGACTATTCGGGAGACGTTTCGTGAAAACTTTCATGAGTGGAGAGCGACCGTACTTTGAAAAATTTGGTGAAATGAGTACATTTTTCGGAAGTGAGTGGGGGAAAAATCCCGTGAAACTTTTGCACTTTTTGCACCCCTGCGAGTTGAGAATCAAGAAGCGTAGTCCCAATTCGGTAGCGGTGTAGTGCCGCGCCGTGCCAGCCAGCGTAGAGTAGCCGTGTTATCGTCCCAGTGTGAGGCGCCTTCAATTCCGTCAAGCGGCAATATGGGCACCACCCATGGTCGAATAGTTATATCTTAAGAACGCCTTACGTAAATTAAGTCAAATATCCATAGCTACACGGAAAAAAGCGTGTTTATCTCCGATTGCAACGTTGCACATCTCCACTCATGTTTTGTTTTTAATTTTATTCTCTTAAAAAACTAAACAACAGATTTTTCGACAGTTACTGCGAATTTTCTTGGATCATTTCAATCACACGAACAGAACATTTCGAGGAGGTAGTATACTAGGTCTGAAGGAGAGATATACTTTACACTATATCGAACTTCCGAAAGTCAGATATAGTGTATAGTATACACTAAGCTGACAGTACGACATTGCAACATCTACATTTTTCACAATTAAAAAAGCTGATATTTTCAAGTTGTTCGGTTATAAAACAACTTCAATTGATATATTTTTTTTTTTTTTTTTTTTTTTTTTTTTTTTTTTTTTTT